ATTATCTTACAAATAAATTTTAATAATTAATCTATAATATATAGAAAGAAAATATTATAATTTTTATTTGAAAATTGTATTAATAACCAATAATGAAGAAAAAAGTATTACAATTATTATTTGAGAAATATCATATTATCATTACACCAATAATAAAAAATATGATTTAAAGCAAAAAAATTTACGCCTCAATTTCTAAAATTTACGCCCTATGAATCAACGTCTTTAATTTGCACCCTCAATAGTTTTTGTACGTCCCGCCCCAAACTCGCCCCTAATAAATGTACTAGTTATTCCATGCTGAGTATAGTGTATAACAACTAGAAATATTTACACTATTAAATATTATGAACCAACAACTAGATTGGACATTATAACTAATCATAAGACAATTAAAGCTAAGCTCAACTAATCAGCTGATTCGTAATTTAATAATTTATTTATAATTTTATATATTTAATCTAACTGCACTTGATGTAATTAAGTCATTGTTTGTTTTTACATTGAACAATTTCTTAATAAATTACTCTAAATAATATTCGTTTCGATTAAGAAAAAGAAAAAAGAATGCACCAACATATTAATCAGACTACGTAATTATTAACCAGGGAAAATTTCCCGAAGATATGTATGATAATTTAATATGAGCAGACCAAAAGAATAGTATTAAAAAATAACAGAGAGTTTTTGCATATAGACACTCAAAATAACTTAATTATGCTTCATAACTATAGTTTGCTAATTATGATTCGTACCTATAGAAGAGGAGTAATACGAGCGAGATTGGGAGAGAGAGGAGAGTGAGAGAGGGCAGAGAGTGGAGAGAGGTAAATGTATATGTATATCTGTCAAATATATATATATATATATATATATATATATATAATTGATATACATATGTATTTGTATATCTAGAGAGTGAAATTGAGAGAACAAGGGGAGAGGCGAGCAAGATTGGAAAAAAAGAAGCGAGTGAGATAAGGCATAGAATGGAGAGAGGTGAATTATATTACGTATATCTGTCAAATAGTTGTATATATGTAACTAGTATATAAATGTATTTGTATATTTATTTAGCGAGATTGAGAGAGGTGACGTAACTACAACTAAATTTAAGCTTTGAGCCGTAATTAATTCAAACTATAATTATATTAGTTAATCAATTAATATATGTTTATTTAAGAGCATAATTGTCCTTAAAAATAACTACGTTTAAGTTGCTTATGATAAATTAATAAACATGAAACTAAATTATTTGTTGTTTGACGTCATCCTACAATAATTATCTCTTATATCTTGCTGATCAGCACCAAATAAATTTGTAATTAAATAAACTAGAGCTGTAATGGTCAAAGTTTGGTAATAAAATGTTCTTTATTTACCAAAAAAACTGTTCATGTTGAATCAATTCACAGTCGTACTTTCATTAATCAATTCTTTATAAGTTAATAAAAAATAATGCACCATAAAATAATAGATATGATTTCATGAATGAGCACATCAATCATAATTAACTTACCCGTCCGTTCATATCAAATACTTGATATTCATTACTAACTTTTTTTTAAAAAAAAAAAATTGTCTAAATATAAAGTTTGTCCACTTGAAATTTTACAGTGGCTTAAAAACAAAGAAAAATGCTCAACTATACAATCAAATGGTTAGAAAAGGTTTGATCTATGTAATCAATTAAAAGTTTTGCTCATCTATGTCATTGTTATTAACAAAAAATATTAGCTTATTCATGCCATTTTTTCACTCCGATTATGCAAAAAAAAAAATTTACATCCTAAACAACTTTTAGCACCTTTCAATTGAATTTTTTAGATCAATCTTTTTGCTTCTTCCTAAGAACTCCAAGAACACATAAAGAACATTAACAATTCTCAAATTTCTTTATGAAACCACTTCAAGTATCAATAGTAATTTCCTCCTAGGTAGATATCAAAAATCAATATCTTTTGAGCTCAACTCAATAAGACTCACTTGAAATTTCTCCAAAGTTTCAAAACATCAACATTTTTTAATAGTAGAATTTTCTCCACAACTTCAAATCATTTGAAATTTTAAACATAGACTCAAAAAATAATAGGGAACAGAGATCTAATGTCAAAAACAACTACAAAAACATAAATCAAAGCAATTTTTTGAATTTTTAGGACTAATTTTTGTTTTTTTGGAATATTTTTTTAAATACAATGTGAAAATTTTAGACTCTACAAATGATTTTAGAATTTTGATTTTTCAAAAAATAAATTAATGATGTCGCCGGAATTTGAGATGATTTAGTGAAAATATGAATATGTTGAAAATTTGAGAGTTGTTTATGTTTTTGATGTTCTTAAGGAAAAAGAAACAAATAGATTACAGTAGATCCAAAAACTTTATAAGTGTTAAGTTGATTTTGCAAAATCAGAATTAAAAATAAGTCTTTTCTTTAACAACATTAACATAGATGAGCCAACTTTTGAAGGATGACACAAATAAGTCTTTTGTGAAAGTTCGATGGTACATTAAAACCTTTTTCCTAAAAAAAAAATAATAAATACGAGTACACTTTACTTAACACTTCAGAAACGTCTATATAATTAACTTTGAAAGAGTGACATGCATTAGTATTAATCCCCCATATACCAAAGCTAGAAACATTGAGCTTCAAATTTTGAAAATGAACAAAAACACATTAATTATGAGTGATTCCAAAATTCCCATAATTGATCTCTTCAAATTAGACGAATACTCAAATTCTTGGGTACCATTGTGCAATAACGTTCGACATGCACTTGAAGAATATGGTTATTTTATAGCACTCTATGACGATGATAAGAAGAATAAGATTTCAACAGAAATATTCGATGTAATGGAAGAATTATTTGATCTTCCCATTGAAACAAAGAAAAAAAACACTTCTGACTTTTATTTCTATCAATGGAATGGTCTACTGAAAAAAGCTCCTCTTCATGAAAGCTTTGGGATCCCACATCCAACTGATGTTGAAGCACTACAAAGCTTCACTACACTTATGTGGCCACAAGGCAACCGCAGATTTTGGTGAGACATATTTCATTTTTCCTTCATTTTATTTTCTCCGCGAGGATTCTTAGTAGCTTAGTTAATTGATTGGTTATCTGAACTAAGAAGGCTATAATCCCCTTCCTTTTACATAACCCCCACACTGCAGCTGCATATGTCCCAACTCGCTCTGCCTCCACATGATTATGTAAGACTAAATTTCATTCCTTAAAATAATAATCAAGAAAGGAAAATAGCAGCAAATACTGATATTTATATTTCAATAATTTATGTAAAGGTTACCATGTTTGATTCTTAACCTCACAATTGTCAACTAAAGAGTTTTTGATGAATTTTGCCATTCTAATATGACTTAGAATAATATGAATTATACTCATCTTGTCAACTTAATAGACTGACCGAATGTAAATTGAATTTATTTAAGTCATATAATTCCAATAATTTGACTTATTCAACCTATTTTTTAAAATCCAATATGAATTTATCAATGAGATTTCATTATCTACCTACTAATCCCGCCCCAAACCCACACCCATCCCATCCGGAGCTTGATACAAAAACATTTGTATAGCCGATTACAACAAGTTTGATACAGTTTCAATTTTAATAACCTCCGAGGGTTACGGTATATATATATATATATATATTTTGCGTATGCTAGTGAAACAGTGACATCGTACGTCAAGGTAGCAGCAGAAGTAGAGCAATTGGTGGATAAAATGGTATTCGAGAGCTATGGAGTAGCAGAAAGGCACTATGAATCTCATGTTGCAGCCACTACATACCTCCTCCGCCCTATTAAGTACAGACCACCACTGCAAGGGGCGGAGGACGGGTCTGGCAATATCGGTTGCAATGCACACACGGATAAAAGCTTCTCCACACTTCTCTTTCAGAATCAAATAAATGCTTTGCAAGTTGAAACCAAAAGTGGAGAGTGGATTGACGTTGATGTCCCTCCCTCCGCCTTCGTCTTCTTGGCTGGTGATGCTTATGAGGTAAGGTTGTCATTTTGTCAGTTTCACCATCAATCTCAAATTATTTCATCGACTACTTTTTATATTCCTGCATGTAGCAAGCAACTATAAACTAGTTCTATTGTACTAGCTAACATTTCGTGGAGTTTTCTTCACTAAAATTGTTAATTAAAATTTTGCAAAATGTTGCTTTTTCCGGTGGAGTAAATCGCTGCTGTTCCAGCGATTTTGCCATTTTGGTTAATATAAAATTTTATATACCGTTTTGAATTTTTTGTTAATATCTCCGGACTCCTTGATTATGCCCCATAGGGCCTATTCAAGAAAGCCACTCCCTATCAAAAGAAAATAGGCAGAGCTCAAAACTGAGACATCTTGTTACAGGCCACTGCACCACATCCTTTGGTGCATCAAAGTTCACACATCATTCAGTTATTTAATGCGACAAAAAGTAAGTAATTTTGTTTGTGGAAGTAGGCATGGAGCAATGGAAGAATATATGCAGCAAGGCACCAAGTGTTGATGAAAGAGGATAAGGAAAGGTATACATTGGCGTTATTCACATTCAACAAAGGAATAACAGAAATACCTGAGGAATTAGTGGATGAAACACATCCTATACAATACAAGCCTTTTGATAATTTTGGATTAGCTTGGTACTACCTCTCAGGTGCTAGCTCCATGGCTCATGGCACTGCTAAACCTTACTGTGGAATTAATGCTACGTAACTTCAATTTCATGTTCTTACAATTAAGATTTCATAGTCTGGAAATTGAATTATTAAGGAAATAAAAGACAAAACTATGTAACAAGTGAGTGGGACTTCAATTATATATAAATCCATCCGGTCAACTTCTCTACTTAGTTCACTCAAACTACCAATCGTTTAATTTTCAAAAAAATGAACTAGTTCTCTAAAGATTAAAACTAAATGTTCTCTAGATCTCATGACCCTGTCCACTGGCAAGTGTCAAGGGAGAAGAAAATACTAATTCACACCAGTGTTTTGCACCAAACCAAATTAATTTTAGCATAGTTAAGCGATAAGTTACAAATATTGACAAGGTAACCTAGTATGGCTGAGTTGTACAAACAACTTCTAGATACCAAACCATTGATTAGATTGTTTAAGGAGGTTTCTACATCAAATTGTCATTGCTTACCTCACGTCCTGATCAAAGGCCAACTTCATGCTGCATGAGGTCAATCTGCACTAATGAGACTGTTCCCTGATGTTGTCCAATTGCTGATGGAACACCGATGGTATCCATCTCTTAGCTCTGAGATGCACGTCGGAAATAATACCTGCACACGTGAAATATAATGAATCATGCTTATGGAAACTGACGACGAATGTTTATTCTTGGTTTAGAGTTATAATAGTTAATATTTCACACTAGAGCCAACTCAGAAAGAGGATTTTAGTTTTTCTCTTTCCCCTTTGGAGAAGCAGTAAACTACAAAGCCCTATATATTGGGCATGCTAAAGAAAAAATATTCAAAGGTATCAATAATACAAAAACTAGTACGACAACCAACTTTTATGAAGCATGCTTGCACACATACAAACAGGACTACATTTGTGCCACAAACAACAGAGGAACTTACACAAAAATATTTATGCCATGGAGAGCAGCATACTTCCGCAGCAGACGTTCAATTGTATACCATTCTGACCTGTCAGAACCATCCTGATAACCGATTCTTGGCATGTGGATCGATGCTTGAAATATCAAAAAGTATAAAATAGACTATTAGGATATTGCAGTGGCAGAAAAAAACAGTCACCATCAAAGAGAATATTTGAGCAATTTTTACAAATGTAATCATGATAATAGCTGGAGATGCATCATGTTATAGCCAGGAGTACTTTTGAATAAATGTTTTTGCAAACACAATAAACAGTAGTGTTTAAACAATTATAGAAATTTCTTGTATTTATTTTTACTAACAAACAGCTGGTACAGGTTCAGACCTACCTGCCACATCAGTGCATAACCCCCCAACCCACCCCCCACCCCACATCCCCAGAGATTCCTGACCAGGAATAACATAGCTCATCATGTCTGGATGAGCAGATCAGATCAGCCTTTTCAAACTATATAGACATTGCTCCAATAAGTTCATGAATGCTGTCCGAAAATAATCATCGATGCTCAAATAAATAGTGTTCTACTCTCCTCCTATCTAAGCAAAAAGTACTTGCTTTTACTTTACATGTTAATAAGAGAAGCTAGATATGCAAGTCGCTTGAGATGTTGAACAAGAAGGTTTCAATTTAATGTGAATTACTATATGAATTTCAAGTAAAATATTCACTCCCTAAGGTGTATTTCAAAACAAACTGGTTCTCAAATATTTCTTGGTTATAAAAAAAATTGAAATAAGGAACTCAAATGCAGATCAAACAAAACATAGAGAACTCAAACTACAAATAAAACAGAAGAAACGTTTCTATAAGACTGGAAATTGGAAATACCGGACTTCTGAGCAGCTGAATACGATGCCTTTGACAGACATCTCTCCAAGTCGGGGATGGAGATACTGCCGCGTGGGACTTTGCGCCTAGGGTTGTAAGACTGCACAACAGCCAAAGCTACCCATTGAGAAGCATGAGGTGAACCACTGCCCTTAGCTAGATCCTCTACATCACAATGATCGCATGGAGATATAACAAGAGAATTAATTTAAGGTATAGCAGAAGACCAATAAAAGAAATTTGACAGGACTAAGTGGAGCAGGAGGAGAAGAGTACAGGCAAAAAGAAGGAAAATACAAGACGACAATATTTTTAAGATATTTTTTTCTCATTTTGAAAATTAAGTAGTAGCTCATATTAGGTGTAGTGCAGGTCATAGAAGCCACCAATCCGGCAGCCCATGTGGAACCTATCATTTCTTTTATTCTCTGTCAATTAGGATATCTATTTTTTCCCTGGTAAAGACGAGTTCTTCTGTGAGAAGCATCTTCCCCAAAATCTTCCACTTAAACTGGTGTGAACCCTCCAAGCTTTTCTATCAATGTACTGAGCATATCCACTACCATAACATTTTATATCTTACAAAGACTCCTAATTGACAAGTCGAGATAAACAAACATTCCATGATTTCAAACTGATTAGCATGATTGACTCATCCACATATGCAGCAGGAGGTAATAACTGGTTGAACTGCAAACTTATGTGTGCAAAATATTACTAAACTCCACCACAAAAAGGAAGCATTTGTCCAAAGAGAACTAATCTAGAGGTAATTAAAGTGGAAGAAATGCATGTACACATACACCTCTTCTCTCATAAGTATCAAGTACACAATTCACTGAGTTCCTAAATTAGCACAGGGCTAGTTAAAACCATGAATAACAGTGCTAGTGATGTCAGAGAAAACAAACTGATGACCTTGACTAGTTAAAGCACCAAATTTACCTGTGATCTCTATAAGATGGAGATCGCCTAGATGAAGATCACCAAATTCAGAAGCTCGTTCATACGCTGCAGGTACACTAGTTGACAGTCTTGCCAATGCATCAAACATACCCCCATGACCCCAGTTTCCTGATGTATCAACACAGCTACCAAAATTGACAAGTAGTCAGAACATGCACATGAAACTTTGCCAAGCTTGAGTGGTTTTAAGAAATTATCAAATGCAGGTGTCCTCTGTTTATCTCAAAATTAATAATTTTAGTACTCACAACATATCCAACCCAATAATGGAAAGCTTAACACGTCTGTGCAATTAAAACAGTGGCAAAAATACTTCTATAAAAGCTGTGATAAGCATCACAAGCTTGACCTGAAAAGATAAGTGTTTCATATACACCTGAATATGATGGTCGGCTCTGATGAAGACACTTTAGAAGGACGGGTACAGTCCCCGTAAACAAAGTGAACGGCTCCAGAATCAGAGGAGATATCAGTATCAGGAGCTGATACAGGATCTTTGACCGATAAGGAGTGGTATCCAAGAGTCTCCCATTTTGACATTTTCTCCTCCTCTACCTTCTTCTTTGCAGCTTCAGCTTTTAGATGTTTTTCTTCAGGCAAGCTTAACAGACTCTGGACCCCTTTTCGTAACCACATTAAACTCACTTAAGAAGTTAGCTGGCTTAACCTCAAACTTGTCATCTCTAGCTGAACGTTCTTTATTGCGAAACGCCATAATTGTTTCTGCCATTGCAGTCAATTCATTCCTATCAAATTTATCTGATTCTTCATTGGTTACTTCTGCGGGATCTAGCATATGCAAGCCAAGCATAACAGATCGCAAGTCACCAGCTTCAGCTCCTGCCATCTCTTTCCCTTCCTGATCCAAGACATCATCTCCTACAATGTTGTGACTAAGCTGTAATTTCCGTTGAGCTCTACGCATGATAACCTACACAATCAAAACCTTCCTTTAGGGTAACTAAATATCAACTTTGAAGTAGCTCTCAAATCTTCTCTTCACCTCCTCCACTGACTGCTCTGTGACTAAATTTATAGATAACACGTGGTTTGTTTGACCAATTCGGTGAGCACGTTGCAAGGCCTGCTTGTCTACCTGAGGATTCCAATCTTGCTCGTAAAATATGACCTACACCACCAACACTTGTCAAGGAGATGAAAGAAATGGATGTCCAACCAAAACAAGACAGGTCCATATGTTACTAACATCACTATGCAGTGGCCAAAAGGAAGAGGAATGACTATTTTGTGCCATTGAAATCGCACTTAAGACAAGAATTAAAGTATATTATTCAAATCACTTGCAAGAAGTGCACCATTAAGCATTGCCAGGTCCAGAAAAATTATGACTTCCTAACACATGCTCCACCTATCATCCAGTAGGTATCAACTGGCATCACTGTGATGCATGTTGTCAACAAAATATGAGCTATCAGCACTTTTTTCCTTGATGGTATAACTCGTGAGCTAAACTTCTTGATGATAACGATTAGGAAAAGAGAAGCGCGTCAATATCCATAAATGAAGATAATATCCTTTAACAAATTTGAGTTCAAGCATTGAACCAGTTTGAACTTGAACTGTTAGATATTCTACCTGTGCATTACAATTTCGCTTTTGCGTATGATCCAAATGAATACTCCTTACTTGTACAATATATATTCGAAAAAAGTACTTGTACAATATAAGGATTAACCCGAGTATATAATCTTAAACCAATCTGATAATAAAAGTTCGGGCCAGAAATTGTCACTCACTGTATCAGCAGCCACAAGATTCAACCCAACTCCACCAGCTCTTGTTGAAATCAAGAAAACAAATGCTGCATTTTGTTCAGCTTCAAACTTTGATCTATTATGACTAAAGCTCCTGATTGCAGCAAAGCGCTCTTCCGCACGAATTGAACCATCAAGACGCTCATAAGAATACTTCCTCAATTCCAGATAATCCTGTACAAGATTAACAAAGCAGAAGACCGTTCAACTGCCGGTTGAACTGTTCAAACATTTCAAATGGAGTTTTTGTAAAACATACCAGATTACAAACATTTACCTGCAGTATATCAAGTGTTTGAGTCATCTGAGAGAAAAGAAGAACCCTGTGTCCACAAGCATGAAGTTTTTGAAGAAGATGATCCAATATTAGCAGCTTGCCGCTAGCCTGACAGCACTTAATGGTTAGAAAACCATACCCATGAAAACGACATACTTACCTGGGGTGAAATATTAGTAATAAATATAAAAGAATGCAGGATAATCTTTTAACGCTAAATAACTAACAGCTGCATACTCTTAACTTAGTAACAGCCGGGTAGATTGCCATTACTTAAGGTGCATACCCAGTGTGAAATCTACAGCCACAAAATTACAAACAGTGACAATCAGCAGAAAGCAGATACAGTACCTGAACCAGGTGTTCTCCCTCTTCATATGGTTCCGGTTCTATACCAGCAAAAAGGTAAGGATGACTACATGCTTTTCGTAGTTGAATTACCTGAAAGTGAGTCTGCAGGTTAGTATTAGGGAAGACACAAGCTGGAGCTCTAACAAATAGATCTCCAAGTCCAAAGCATTTTTCTCACCCTTTAAAGGCTAAAACAGCTACTTAAGCATAATAATTATGACAAAATGAGTGGAGATGCTGAACCTCAGAAAGATACTTAATGAACTCTCATTGAATGCAGATTCAACTTAGAAAAGGATGTGAGTATTGAATAGCAATTCACTGAAAAGCACAAACAATTAATGTTAAAGGTATTCCAAATACCAATATGTAAGTTACCTCATTGACTATAGTCTATAAGGTATAATCAGTCACTTTATGTCATAGAGCCTGTTTGCTTTTGCTGATTGTAAATACCTGATAAGTTTCAAGTGTTGAGAAGTGTTCTTAATTATTGAAATTGATGCTAGAAACTAAGCAGCTAAATGTTGGATAAAAGTGCTGAAACTAATAATAAGCAGCTGCCGTGCTTGGTAAAAAGGTGTTGATAAGCTGTTCTTTTAATTAAATGACTAAAGTATCCTTAAAATTTGTACAAAGTATTATAAATTTGAAAATATCTTTTTAAAGAAAGGGAAAAACCACAAATATAGAATGAACATGAAGTTAGGGGTTTTGTTTTGAGAAAGATGGTTCAAGAATTAAAAAATATATTAAGGATAAAATAGTAAAAGTCTTGGTCAATCAAAAAGTGCTTACAAGCTGAAAAGCCATAAGTCAGGATTGACCAACTGATTATTTTTTAACTTATAAGCACTTTAGATGTTTAGCCAATGCATAAATAAGCCAACATGTGTTTTATAAATAAGCTAACATGTGTTTTATAAACCAGTTTGACCAGCTTATAAGTTTAGCCAAACATCATGAAGCAGAAACCTACAACCGGATTACAAATATTAGTAGTCAGTTCATATTACATGACAATTTTAAGTCTAATTATCTGCTTCTTTCTCAGTCTGGTGTTTCAGCACTTTCAGATGCAGTACCAACTAAGATTCATTTAACTTACGAAGTATGTAAAACTAATCCTAAAAACTAAATATTTTACACAAGTATAGCCCAATTATTTTACAAGTAACATGTCATCAACTTTAAAGTGTGAATAGTTATTATAAACAAAAAATCGTCACATGTAACGGTTCCATATGTATTACTTATACTATACAATCACCGAGAGTCATAGCTTAATTCTTACCACCAGTTATCACTCAAACTCTATTATTTAACACCTACTAATAATCCTGGCCAGAATTTGGCATGTAGTCAACCTAAAAAAAGAAGCTCATAGCTACTCTAACTAATCAGGATGTAGTAAACTAGGGACCATTCATAATGCATTAAGAGTATTCATAACCTACAGAAGCTTTCTGTAGCCACTCATAATGCATTCAGAAACCTCTAGTTGTACATTCGAAATCAACCACACATGGAAGAACAAGTTAAAATCATCAAACCCAAAATAAGAAATTCCTTGGCCAAAAGAATAGGTATATACAATATTCTGCAACGACCGGGTATTGGGTGCACCAGAAGCAAGTGCTAGCAGCTGAGATAGCTCCTTCCTTAGTATGGACATATATACCTTCTTTTGCAGGGCCACCAGTGGTGCCATCCTAGAATCAAAATTACTAACATATTAGCAACACTACACAAAAGCAAGTCCAAGGAAACCACGTGACATACTATCGACAGCCATCTAAAGATGACATATCCTCTACCAGCTCTAGTGGAACTTCTGCAATAATATGTCATTTGCCAAATCAGCGATCATGGAGAAAGATGAACTTACACAGTGATCTCAGTTAGAGGAGGCAGCACAAGAGTCCCCAACTCGATAAGCTGAGATTTAGTTCGTCGGAGCATAAACGCCCCTATTACATATTTCAAAATTTTGAATTGTTCCTTAGCTTTGTCTGCATCAGGACCTACTCAGCGGAGCCATATTAGAGAAAACATAGGAGTGAGTCCATTGCTTTCAAGTAAATGTAAAAACATGTAACATGTGGCAATGTTATTTGGATTTAAAGATGCTCCTACATAATTCAACGCAATCTTGTGAAGTGGATTCAACCTTGTAAAGTGAATTCTGAAGTCCCACTTAAGATCTCAGAAAATATTCAGTAGCATTTTCATATTAAAAAATTACTCTGAACTTTCACAATATCTTTCTTAGTCCCTAGACTTGATTCATAGTTGAAAAACTCCCATTTATAAAAATTGAAGGGCCCAATGTCTGTCTCAATAACCCAACTTACAGTATGTTGCAAAAAGAGTTACAGGAGCAATGCTAATTTTAACTGAAAAAACATATAACTGGACAAACAAATTCCAGAAGAGCCGTGGTCTTTTTCCGAGGGGTGTGGAGAAAGAAGAAGAACAATAAACAACTCTTTCTCAGAAATATAGAAATATAAAAATGACTCATGACAGGTGTAAGTATTACATGATGGATCTCCAGCTTCCTTGAATGCAGAGAGGAACTGCTCCACTGTTCCAAAAACTGAAGGCATACAAAAGTGCAAAAGAGCCCAAAGCTCAGAAAGGTTGTTTTGTATGGGTGTGCCAGTCATCAGCAATTTCCTTGGCATAACAAAACGCTCTTTGAGCACATTATACAGGACCTGTAAAGATTTCAAACACTCAGCAAACAAAGATTTAATTGTTGAAAGTCAACTGCCCACTCCCCCCATGCCCAAACCAAAAGTTAAATTGAAATATAAAAATTGCTCCAGAACTATAAGAAATAGATTAATGACAAAATCATGCGGAAATATTAATACATATCTCAAGTTTGCATTTTCAAATGATATTTTAATCTACAAAAGGAAATAGTTAATCAAGAAAAGATATCTGAGAATGTCCATGCAGTTCCAATGAAAGCTGGGAGGGTAACATTATTTTTCAAAGTAATGATGATTTTGAAGACATTTCATCAGATTAACTCTCAAGAGGAGAAGAACTCCATTCAAGAACTTGGAAGTTCAGAAAAAGAATGATTATATCTCTATTCTCTTAAGGGGCAGAATATAATATGTATCCAAATCTGCTATAATGATTCATCCAAAACACAGATAATCCCTACCCATACGTTTTCTGTTATAAGAAAATCATATTTATCCAGATACATGGTAAGGTTGCAGGACACTATCACATCCCTATTAGAATGTTAGATACATCAGTGTTCATTTACGCACTTAATTAACAGTTTAACACAACTTTAAAGGATAACCGATGAGGTGCTGAAAATCTTAGACAAGTTAAGAAGGGATTTCTTATGGCAAGGAAGCAAGATTGAGAAAAGTTTCAACCTGGTAAAATGGAGGCAGTTCAGCAAAGCAAGAGTTTTGGAGGTCTGGGAGTGAGGAACTTAAAGCTTCATTATAAGAGACTACTTACCAAATGGCTATGGAGATTTACTCGAGAAAATCAATCCGTGTGGAGGGAGATTATCCTTCATAAGTATGGCCCGGAGGGGCAATGGTGCACTAATAAAGTGACTAATACATATGGGGTTGGGGTTTGGAAATCTATCAGGAATCTATGAACGACTCTCAAGCTAAACACCAAAGATAGAGTTGGTAGGGGAGACGAGATACTTTTTTGGAAAGAGGACTGGAGTGATCATGGCACACTTCAATCCCTTTTTCCTAGACTATTCTCAATAAGCTTGAATACTAGATGCAGTATACAAGAAATGTGGTCCCCTCAAGGGTGGAACCTCACTTTCAGAAGACCCCTAAATGATTGGGAAATACCATGGGTAGTAGTTCTAAAACTAATAGGAAACATCCCGGGCATTAATACAAATTCAGACAAACTCATTTGGAGGCACCACAATGATGGAATTCTCACTGTTAACAGAGTATACAAAAGGGAACTGAGTGTTGCTGGAGGCAGGTCAACTGGACCTTGGAATACTATATGGGAAAGTGTGGCTCCTAATAATGTGAAATGCTTCACTTGGCTAGTAGCCAGGAAGGCATGCTTGACACATGAGGCACTGCAAAAAAGGGGGTTCATCATAGCATCTAGATGCCTCCTCTGAAAGGAGGCTCTAGAAACCAGCAAACACCTTTTCATGCATTGCAAAGTAATGACACAAATTTGGGCTATGTTCACCGCCATTGCTGGAATCAATTGGATCATGCCAGAACATACTGCAGACTTGCTTAGCTGCTGGATCAGAAGAGGAGGAAGCAAAAGCCAAAAAATATGGTGGAGGACAGTCCCAGCCTGCATCTGGTGGACCATTTGGAAGGAAAGGAACCAGAGGAGCTTTGAAGGAAAGAATCCTCTATTTTGAAGATTAAGTGGAAAGTAATTACTTCACTAGGTTTTTGGTGTAAAGAACAGAGTATAGAAGAGGAAATCCTATTAGTGGATTTTATAGGCTTTTTGTAAGTATCTCTCTTTTCTTTTTTTGTAAACTATTTGGAAGTGGCCAGCATAGCCTTAATGCTGAAGGAATACAATTTACCAATTTCAAAAAAAAAGGTAATCTGCAGGATTAACTTTATTCAACTTGACCACACATGATAACTGCATAAGTTGTCAATATTGTAGCTTATACCGGTTTTGAATATTTTACATGCAACAGTAGATATGCATCAATTCCGTACTGGTTGGGTTAGCTATATGAATCTTCAATAACCATTTAGCTCGGTTTGAACATATTTACGTAGTCAGAAATGGCACAGATACCACCATTCTAATTGTGCTCTTTTTAGGAGAAGGGATTTTGGATACTATGAGTACAGACATAAGGGGCTTGCCCTCTATTTCTAGGCTTGCTGAAGGATGAAGGTCGTTAAGTATCACACATTGATGAGGAAATGGGTCGTTATCTCCTCATATGGTCTTGGAAAATCCTCACCTCTTGCGCTAGCTTTTGAGGTTGAATTAAGGCCCGAGATACCTTTCATCATCAGGGATGGGAAAATATGGTTATAGGAGGTTCATGAATTTAATGTATAGAATGGGATTTCAGGGAAAAATAGCCTAAATAAGAGAAAGAGTTCCTCACTTGACTTCAAGCCGGGGAAGACTAGTTCAAGAACTAGAAAGATCTTTAAATACATGAATCATACATTAAACCCCCATATCACTTGTGATATCTCAAGATTTGTGAAACAAAATACAGAGAATTTCAGACATACACTAGATGGATTCTTGAGCCTTTGTGCTTCGTCAATTATTGCATAACACCATGGAACTTGGGATAGAAAATCTTCATCAAGTAATACTATGTCGTAAGTAGTTAAAAGCACATCAAAAGGTAGTGATTTTGCCTGTAAGAAATGAGGAAAATCAAGGTAAGATAAATAACAAAAGAATTGACAGTTCTTGAAGAGAAAAATAATGTATAAAGCCCCAGTATGCCTTTAGACGTCCAAATAGAGCTTATATAAACGTATACAAAGTACCTACATAAAATTAAAATGATTGTCTTTAGAGACACTTTAAAAACTTAAAAGTGTGTATACAACCCAATACTTACAACCGACGCCTCCCTGTTCATACTCTCATATATCTTCCTACGTAAGTTGCACCGATGCTCCTTGTCTCCAGTATAGGATAGCACTCTCAATTTTGGGGCAAAATTGGCCATTTCAGACATCCAACCATCCGTCACGCTAAGAGGACAGAGTACCACTGCAACATTTTGTCAGAGCTAAGCATGGATTGTTAACCTAAGATGTATCTCGGCTACTATTTCTTATTAGATCAAAATTACAGTTCTTCCCACTCACAGAATGGTCCAGGAGTCTTTAGATAGACTTTCAAGTAGCTCAGCAATGATATAGCTTGCAAAGTCTTCCCCAATCCCATCTGCCAAAAAACCATTAATAGCAAAGAGAAAATCAAGACAATAGCCATCGACTACAAATTCGCTACTTAACAGATCACGGTGTTTTGTATTACCAATTATAGATAGTGCAAACCCAACCTAGACAAGCTTGAGGAAGGAGAGTCAAGTAAACAAAACATTTCTCCTAGCAAAGACCACTTAGTTTTCACCTATGTTTCATTTAGTCAAGGCTCCAAATCTAGTTTTCACCTATGTTTCATTTAGTCAAGGCTCCAAATCTTCCAATCAACACGAAGTTCTCTTAAGAGATTTAAATCTTTGTCTAGTAAGCATTCGTGGACACGGCCAGAATTCAAAGTATCCAAAAGGAAGATGGTACCAAGAAAAAATAAAGGAAAACTTATTTGGTGACCAGATCAAAGGCATAAATTGCAATCCACTTTAATTTAATAAAACACATTTAATCACTTGCTGCAGAAATACTGATCTGATCCATAAAAGCACAAGAAATAGAAAACTTATAGCATGTTCTAAGAAGGAACTTGTTAAATGTTGTGTGCAATTGTGTATATTTATACATTTTTCTTAATGTTCTTAATGTTTTTTGAGAAAGTTCCTTTTTTTGAGAAAGAATGTTCTAAATGTTTTTTCATCCGGGTTTTAAAGATTCTTTTTCAACATTTTCACATGATCTTTGGTTAAGTCTGTCAAGATGCTAAGAAATTCAGTTTCATAATGTGCTACATGGATCCTTCATTTCCCTGAACAGTTAACAGCCCCATGTGGGATGATTGCTAAGCAGAGTGAATCATTCATGCGGAGGCCATACATAATAGGTGTTAACTGCCTTGTTGAAACAATCAGCTTTGGATTATTTTTTTATCAACATAGATTCTAAAATGTTAATTTTCAACATAATTCAATTTCATGTATTACCCTAGGTAAACTAGTACATCGACATATCCCCACAGGCAACTTTTTTAATGATTTAGGATAACGGGAAAATCTTGGGGAACAAAAATACCAGATAAGATCTCTATTCCACAAGGGAAATAGCATAGTTCCACCAAACATTACGCTTTCACTAAATATTTTGTGAAGCATAATATTGAGAAGAAAGACTGAAGAATTTTAACATTGTTCCTATAACTTTTTTCTCTTTGCCCTTTATCCCCTGTTACTACAAAACACTTTCAGATAATTTCAGGTTTATACAGCAGAAGTTCAGAATTTTGAGGTCCCTATAAATTTCTTTTCGAATGCGCCTATCTACTTTGATATAACAACAGAAAGACCAAAATTTCTTATACAGACATATCTCACAAAAACAATTAACCATTCCACTGTGGCTACATTCACCTCAAAGAGAAACACAACAAACTTTTCAAGCACCTAACATGAAAAGATTGCGCGCGTTCACACCTCAATAAAGTCTTTTGAGTTTTGACTCTTCATCATAAGAAGATAAATTAAAAAAACAATTAAATGCTGGCCTTAATGTTGGCAGTGATACCTCATCCCCTGCAAGAAAAATAAAATGACAACATCACCGTTCATGTCAAATTATGATAAGCAATTATAGAAATAAATACTCCCGGTGTCACAAAAAACATAGCAAATTCGACTCATTCGTTGTTCAGTGTTATCTCAGACATTTTCATTACTTTCTCTATGAAATGATGGTAATAATCTATAAATCAATAGTTTAAGGTTATTCAAAAGAGTAGCCTTATAAACAGATCCGAAATTGAGACTTGAAAGTAGTAGTAAACATCATCTTCCGATTAAATTATGTCATCCTTGTTAAGGAAACACCGCAAAATGAAAGAACTACAAAAAAAAATACTGCAACTTCATTCACTTACAGTTTCGTTCACTTTCTTCATAGTTATAGACATCACATTCGGTTAAAATTAAATTACGGCTTCCTTGCTGAAGGGACGTCAAGAAATTAACGCAAAAACATATGATTAACACAGTTTCATTAGCTTTATGTGTAAAAATAACTTTATAGAACGAGGCAATACCGAGAATGACGTTGACGCCGAGAAGGTATCTTCGGACGAGCCATGAGACTCCTTCAACTTGGTGAGGTTTAAGAGCCGCTTCGACTCCGAAGTCAACGGAGTTGACCGGCGGATCATCGGCAACTGAATCACCGGCGTAGACAAACTTCGCCGCAGCGATTAATCTCTGCTCGAAATTCATCGGCAAACAGAATCGTGGAAGCAATTGGAAACGGGGAAGGGGCGGTGCTGAAAAGTGGAAACTACCGCTTCATTTTAATTTTATTTCTTTTTAGAGCCAAAATGTTTATTCGAACCCCGCGATACGTGCGCGGGGAGTGTTATTTTACCAGAACGCCCTCGGACAGCGTTATTTTGCAAATTGAAAATTGGAAAATAGGGTTTTTTTTTTATATAAATATTGTGTTTGAAAATCTGTTTGCAAAAATTGTGTTCCTTGACAAAATGTTAGTAGCACTACTTGCACTATTTTATCCGAAAGAGTTTCTTGTACAAAATGTTAATAACCAAAAAAGGATCGAAAATATTTTCTAATTTTATTTTATTGATTAAATATGTCTTTATCGTTAAAATAAAGTTATTTTTATTCCTGTTGTTATCCTCTTTTTTAACAAAAAATACCCAAATCAGAATAAATTATCTAAAAAAATCATCATCTCATTCTAACCACACCCGACACAACAAACAAGTAACCCAAGCAATTAGCCTTCTTCAATATATCATGAGACTCGAGTTCAATTTTTTCAGAAATAAACTTCTGATAAACCTCAGAAGTTTTTTTAGCAATATTAAAAGGACCCAATTAAATTCTTTTCTTGCTAAATAGGTTTGTAATCTCAATAGCAATTTTCTTGATTTTTTTTCTCGAACAATAGGAAACAATACTCAAAGAGCTTATATATTTTAGTAAAAATACGAATCTTTACATTCGATGAATTCGAGGTCCGACAGTCCACCATTAATGGCGGATTGAAATTTTCTTTTTCAAACCTAATTAGGAGATGATACAATTTACCAGAAAATTGATAAAAATCCAATGGTTTTTGCTGTTTGATAAAAAAAGATTGAATCTTTACCTTTTTTTTTTTGAATAATCTCATAAACAATAATCTTTGGTCCTTTTTCCTAAGATGATTCTGTAGCATATGGGTCTCAATTTTTTACTCTTATTTTCCTATGTATTTCAATTATCCATGTAACTTGTTTACAGTGAAGCTATTGCCGCTAGTGGTAGATTCTAACGAAGATATTTTCTTGTTTTAATGAAGATCAATTATGTTAAAGTAAGAAAATTAAATTGACAAGATGATGAATCCACAAGAATATATATTTTTGCAAACATATGTAGCTTTTAAGGAGTAAAGAGTATTTTTTTATTTAACAAGGAAGAAGATGAAGAAATTGATTTTGGGATTTCATTTGACATGTTTTATGGATTGGATTTAAATTTGGGTCAAAAAAGATGAAATCAGGTAATTTCAATTGAAATTGAATAATTTTGAGCTTTTCATATAATTGAAGGGTACACATGACAAGTTTGATAACGACAAAGGTAAATATAACTTCGTTTTAATTATAAGAATATAGTCAACTAAAAAAATAAAATTAAAGGATATTTTTGATTATTTTCCCTATTTAGAAATTTGAGGAAATGATTAAATTTTTGTATAAATTATTTGAGAATCACTTTTAAAAAATTATGTTATAATTCAAATTTTAGTAACTAAATGTACTAGAAAGATTTTCTTGCATTTTATAAATTGTGAACGTCTTATATAATATAATGAGACAAGTGTCAAAAACACATCTAAAACTATTCAATTTTTTTTGAGTTTTATATATAAATTATTGAGAGTGTGAGATTCATACCTAAACTATCATTTTTTTAGTTTGAGAAACACATCAATTGTGTGTGTAATGCACTTTCTCTTTTATTTGAAAAAACTTTGACACGTGGCATTTCACATAGATAAACTATTTTATCTAAATAAAATAATTAAAGTATTATTATCTATATAAAAAAATAAATTATTTTCTTACATCACTCCATCACTTTCCCCCCCCCCCCCCCCCACCCCCCAAAAAAAAAAAAAACCTACTCAGCCCCCTTATAGAAATTGATATTATTTTTAAAAAAAAAGTCCACCCCATCCTAATTATTCCTCTGCTTTTAATTTTTATTTTTTTACATTTTTCTCATTTTGTGTTAGATATGCACGTATATATATTTTTAGAAAAAAAGTATATTAGTGTACCTAATATAACATAAATAACTAAAAGATTTAAAAAAAAAGTCTTGTGATGATAAGTAAAAAATATTTTCGATATGTATATCTAAACACGGGAAAAAAATTGAAAGTGGAGGGTTAAGTGGGATGGGTAGAATTTCCAAATTAGTATATGAGGAGGGGGGCGAGACGAATTAAAAAAATGAAATACTTTTGTAAAAGAAATTTAATCAAAATAAATTGTGGGGGTGAGAGAAAGTGATGGCGTAGGGTAAGAAAAATATTTTACATTCTTTATAAAGAAAATATTGCTTTTTATAATAGTTTGAAATTTTTAATTTTAATTAATACTAATAATTTATTTAATTTTTGTCAAGGTAGAATGTTTTGTTCATGTAGAGTATGATGTGAAAATTCTTTAAAATAAAAGAGAGAGAGTATTACACATACCATGATAAGAGGGGTATAAAGAGAGAAATGTGTTTCTCGAACTAAAAAAATTAATAGTTTAGTTTGAGTCTAAAATTTCTACTTTGAAATGGTCTAAAGATCTATCTATCATCTCTCTTGTTGAATTGATAAGTGTTCTTCAGACAAGATAAATTGTTGGAGGCATTTTTTATGCAAACTATCAAAAAATAAAATAAAATTGATTATTCCTTGCAAATATTATAGAAAAACACATTTGAAAAAATTATGTTGGTAGAGATCTGATGCGGTATGTGGAAGTTGCAAACAAACAGGTCATGTTATGAAAGTGTGCAAATTCAAAGATACTCAATATAAATCACAAGCATTATTAGTATAAGAAGAATGAGTTTGAGGGGAATGTTGAAATTTGGTAGAATTTTTTTACTTTTATTTTTTAGTCTAAAAATAATTTATAGTATTTAATTTTCTTTCAAATCTAGGATTTATATTAATAACAAAATATTTAAATTTATTTTAGTTTAGATCTAGAAGGATTCTCTTTTATTCTCCTTAATTATTTATAAATAGAGATGTACTATTCTGTTTGTATCAATGCAAGAATCAATACAAAAAGTTATTACCATTCTCTCTTTAATTTCTCTTTCTAGTTTCTTCTGATCCATAACAATAGTTTAGGTATCAAACTTAAACTCTCAATAGTTTAGATATGAAACAAAAAAAAAATACAATTTAAGTATGTTTTTGACACTTATCAATTATCTCTTATGTAATATGAATGTTCAGATTTTTTTTAATGCAAGTATATTAATGTAAAAACATAATCTTAGTCAAATAACGTGAATTGCAACAATGATATACAAATCAATTAACAAAATGAATATCGTATTAGCAAGGGTAAATCAATCAAATCATATAATTGTCTTACATTAATGGTAAATAAATTAAGAGGATCACTATTTTATTTTATTTTTCTTAATTAAATTGTGAACCTATATGAGCACTTCCAATCTATACCATTGCAACAAGGAGCTATTCTGTCACGACCCAAATCGGACCGCGATTGGCACCCACACTTACCCTCCTGTGTGAGCGAATCAATCAAATCTAAACCTTAACATTTCAATGTACTATCAACATAAAGTAATGCGGAAGACTTAAACTCATTAATAAAAACCAATTCAATAACTATCCGGAGTAATGAAGACTGGCTAGAGTTACTGTTGAGTCGAAGATGACGGCACGTTTGCTGCACTCCACAATTAAACAAGAAGAAAACATAAAAGTAGGGATCAGTACAAAACACGGGTACTGAGTAGATATCATCGGCCAACTCAAAATAGAAATAAATATATACCAAGTAATATCATAAAATCAACTATGATACTCAACATATAGCATTTACAATTACCATAACCCTTGGTCATAACACCAAGCACATCAATGAGGACTCACGCCTCCTCATCATACTCATTTGGGATTTAGGTTCATTAGATTGAGTATATTAACATCTTTCAAGATTCATTATCTTTATTCCTCTCGTGTCGGTACGTGACACTCCGCTCCTCGTATACTATCTTGGTGTCGGAACGTGACACTCCGATCCTCATATACTATCCTGGTACCGGAACATGGCACCCGATCCATATTCTATCCTGGTGTCGGAACGTGACACTCCGATCCTCATATACTATCCCGGTACTAGGATAGTATATGAGGATCGAAATTCGATGGTGAGTGCAATATTAGTCTTACCCACTCATATGGACAAATCTAGCATACAGCTTATGAATATATTGTTAGGCTCATCTTATATATAATATATATACTTTGTATTTTGTATATATGTGATAAAATTTTCAATAAATTAAATATATAAAAGAATTAAATTATTTTTGAGTTATCGAAATTAATGTATAGATATTCTTCATCTAATTATTGAATCAAAAATAATCTTAGGGTTAATTTTATGGCCCTTTTCTAGTACCCATAAACAAACTACTCCCATCAAATAACAAAAATCAGGCCACTGAATGTATTTTCTTAATTTATTTGCTTGGATATTGGTAGAAATAGATTGAAACTTTAGCATGGGCTTAGAACTTACACCTTTAACAATTTGATTCGACGGAGAGATAAATTAATAGAATAAATTTTTTTTTTACATGATTTCACCTAATTTATCTAAATATAAACCCTTGCAGAAAAATTTCAAAAAATAAAAATAAAAAAATCATATACCGAATTTCGACCCAAAATGGCCACCATTTTATTTTTAAAACTAAAACAAATTCCTTTTTACTTATACTATGTTTGGATCATTATTATCCATTGTATTGTATTGTTATTATACCTACAATGTTTGTTTTGATTGTTACTTAAAATGTATTTTATTGTTATATTTCGTTGTTACATAACAACGAAAACCTCTATTTTATGAAACAACCAATTTGGTGTGTTCCCACTGTTACTTAATATTTTTTTTCAATCATATATTTATATAATATTTCAAAATTCTATTTTATCCTTTATCTTAATTATTTGAATCTAGTCAAGCCTCCTACCTTAGAATAATTAGGATATTTTAGTAAATTTATAAATTACAATAAAGTACAATACGATCAGACCAAATAATTAAAA